GGGCGCGCCGCTCGCCCTGCGCGCGTGTGCGCCACAGATAGGGGGGGACGGAACGCGGCGGGGTGCGGGGAACGTGGACAATGCGAACGCCGCAGCCGCGGGCGCCCCACCCCTGCGTGGAGCGCATGGCTGCGGGCACGCCCCGCAGCGCCCGCAGCTTTTTGCCCAAATCTGCGGGGCCCAGGCACTTTCTGCGGCCGTGACTTAGACTGTCGGGAGAGACTATCAGGCCACTGTCGCCAAGTGCGATTTCGACAACTTTCGGGAGAGGTCCACTTTGTTTGGGCGCACGGGCCTCAGTCGGGTTATTACCCACGGGCAGGGGAGCGGCGATGGGTGATGGGAGTGAGGAGTCGCCCAGCGAGAGGCCCGAGACAGGATATTAGTGGAAATAATACAGTGGTTGTCAGGAAACGCGAGTGCAGCCACATGGCTACTGCCAGTGCTGCAGCGAGGATATCCGGTGGCTGCATAGTCTGTAATTTAGAATAAAAAGAGCTCTCCCAAGCCCCGAGAGGCTGACCTCAGCGCCGCGTGGCGGTGGTGCGCCCGACGCCCTCTGTGGAGACGGTCCAGGTTGTGACAGGTGGGGAAGCCTCTTCCTAGGCGATTTATAGCTTCAAAGATCCTGCAAATACTCCCCTTCGATTCAAGTTGCAAAATTTAGCCAGCCTCTTCTGAAACATGGTGGGGGTGGAGGACGTGGGTTAGTTGCCTGTTTCTAACATAACAGGATAATATAACCAATATTAGAAATATATTTTCTAGCCCCACTTTTTGATGTCTTGAACCAAGAAGTACATCTAAGATCTGAGATGTCTTTTAATATCACGTCTTTGCCAGCGATATCAGGAACAAGCATTTATTCAGGAATCGATGTGCATCACCTGGAAGTATTGACAATATTCACATTTTTTCCCCCTTAATTTGCTGCTTCCAGAGTAGCTTATATGAAATTCAGAGAATATGAGCAGTAAAGAGGGGAAGTGACCGGGGCACACCTGTCTGCTTACATTGATCCTCTGCTTAATTGCTTCTGGTGCCTTACAGTCTAGACAATGGAAAAGCGGTGGTCGAATAGCAGGACAGATGCCGGAGAAGGACTAAATCAATTACGAATCCTCTCTCTCCTAAGGATATAATACAGTACTGTGAGCCCAGCCTCACGCTGCGTCTGGACAAAACTCTAAATAAGCTTAAATAGCCTAATTGCTTTGCCAGAACTTAATATTTAAGAAGATTAGCAAAAATAGAAGTCTTCGATGTGAAAAAAAAAACACCTCAGTTTGCATTAACTCCAGTATTCTCTCTTGTTCCTTGCCTTTTTTCTGTTCCCTGCTACCCTGTTTATTTCCTTAGTAAGAATCTCCAGTCCCATCCTAATGTGTCCCTTTTTTCTCTTCATGTCATTTCTCCAGGTTTCTATTTACCCCTTGAGCTCTGAAGGTTGTCCCAGTGTTAAGGGGGTCTCATAAGAATACTTGCACGGCTCACGTAGGCAGTTACTGCACCGTCAAAGTTTTCTTTTTTTAAATGAAAGTTCTCTCATTTGGCCTAGTTATCTACAATATGCATTTTTAAGTCCTCTTATGACCATACTACTTAGAAAGGAAAGCAAGCAGAAACTGATGGCCCTGACAGGATTTATTAAACAGATTCAAGAAAAAGTCAAAGTACAAAACTTTTTCACTACTTTTTAAATAACTTTACTTTTTTCCCTCACACTAACCAGTATCACAGAATCAATGGAAATGACTTAAGAGATAGAGAAAATAGCTGTGGACCATATGTAACTACGGCTCTATTTTGTCCTCATACTGAAGCCTTTTAAAGGCCAGCTTGATTTTTCAAAGTGTGGTCTTGAGGACTTTACAAAGTGAGTGATGCTATGAGACTGTTGTTGAAAAAGCCAGAAACCTGTATCTGCGGTGCCAGGGGGTTGGAGAGGGATACAGGATTACACAGCTGTCTTCTTAGATAAATCTGACCTACTTAGCCTTCTCTGGAGGTATTTTTCATGCTGACTCATGAACAACAGGAAAGTTATGGCCCATTAAGTAGCATCTATGTTTTGAAGTAAAGTTCTGTTCCAAAGAAGACTCCAGTGTCATTTGTGCTCTATTTCCATCATTCCCCTGTAGAAAGTAGATATTCTGTTGTTGTGGAATATTAAAGCTGGATAAATTTTAGCTATTAAATGAACTGCTTCATTTTACAGAAGAAACTGAAGCCTAGAAAAGATGAGAAATACCCAAGTTATAGTGGCAGAGTTATGGAAAAGTATATATGAAATAACATTAACTGAAAAAAATTTAGTGTAAACATGAATAAACTTATGTGCAAATTATATACACAAGAGTAAAGTATGAAAGAGGCACTAAGAAGATAATTCACTGGAGTATATCAATTTTAAATTAGATCCATGTAAGTTAAAATGTTTTTTAAAAACCTGAAATTGACTGAATCTACACTTGTATATTGATGTTGACCATGCCTTTGACTTACTTTACCCTTGTTCTTTTTTTCTTAATGAGCATAGATGAACAGCAAGCAAGTCTATAAGTCCTGCATAAAATTGATAGTGGAATGTCATGGCCAAATCACCTACCTCTAATCTAGAGAAGATTCAACACACCAGGACATAAGGTGGTTGTGAAGATTAAGTGAAATAATGTATGGTAAGCATCCGGTATAGATGTTCAATAAATGCTAGTAATGATATTATCATATATTGCCAATGTAGGGGCACGCCAGACCTTTCGTTAATATGATAAATTTGATACTGATTTTCAATTACTTGAATTAGCTATTATCATTCATTATCACATCATTTATGGGAATGATTAATGCAAATGTACCTGTAACAGCTGTTTGCTGGCTTATCTATCCATCCGTTTTGGGCCTCACCCCAATCTGACAACAAAACCTAGTGTTTTATCACACCACCACCACCATCATTGCCTCACCCTTGCCTGGGCGGAAATGCTGGGAGGGAATAGGTCCTGAGCAGAGTAGAAGCCTAATGATTAGGGTCAGATACTCCCGAGATGCAGACTGCCCCCTGACTCAGGGGACCCTTCTTATCTAACTTTATTCCATTTCATCTCAGGAAGCCTCGGTGCATTGGATAGAGTTCTTTCCTTTCTTAAACTATTCTGTTGTATTAAACAATTGTCCTTTTCCATTTGGGAATATCATGCAATTTGGAGGAGTACTGGTGTTCACAGTTAAAAACAGTCATCTTTATGTTTCGAAACGCATAAAACTGTATAGTGAAAAAGGGTAAATATTACTGTATATAAACTAAAATTAAGTTGTGTTAAAATTTTTAATTAAATAACTTCTTTAAAGAATTAGACAAAAAATTAAACTTAAAAATTAAAATTAAAGAATTTTTTTAAAGGGAGGCTAGAATGTGATTTATACAGGATGCCTCGAGTCCTATTAAATGTTTAAATATGATTAAATGAATAAGTGAATGAAACAACAAGTCACTTTCCCAGTTTCTTTTGCAACTTGGCATTGCTATTTAGCCTAGCTCCAGTCAATTAGATATAAGCAGACTTCTACTGTCATGACTTCAAAGAAAGCTATTGTTTTCCTGATGAAAAGGAATAGAGTCAGCTAGGGCAGTCTTCTGCTCTGCGTCCTTCTTCCTGCTGGAATAAAGATGTGTTGCCTAGAGGTTTGCAGCCACCATGTAAGCCTGAGGAAAAAATTGAGGGTGGCAGATTAATTAGAAAGGCAGAATAAGTCCGGTTCCTTGATGGAATTAAGGGATTACGGATGTCTGCCTTAGATATCTTGTTCTGTAAGCAAAAGTAACCCCTTCTTACTGCAGTAAAGTTTTCTGTTACTTCTAGCCAACAACGATCCCAAGTGAGAGAAAAAAGTCAACCAAAACAAAAATGAAACTAAACAATCATCATTAACAATAACTAGCCTCAAAGATATTAACAGAATGCTCATACAAGAAGAGGAAAACAGCAAACTAGTACTTGGTTCATTTTATAAGTGTTAATTAAAACAACAATCGTGCATCATTTTATATCAAATTAGCAAAATAGATAAAAGCAATAGATAATAGAATCAGGTCTGCCACTGATGACATAACTAAACAAAAGTAAATACTAATTAGATAGCTGCAGAGAAATAGTGTTTATCACTTAGCAAATTATTCTCCAAAGGATGGTGATGGCCCTGGTATCACCAGGGCCATCATCTTAAGTCTGTGTAATGGCACTCTTGGCATGTGCGACATGCAGCTCTGGGTACCATCTGTGAGATTTTCCTCCTACCTTCTCAATTTGCTTTGCAACCTCTTCCTCCTATGCCCAATCTCTAAAATTAAGAATACTCCAGGGCTTGGTTCTGGCTAGTCTATAGTTTCTCTCTCTGGATGAACTCATCCAGCCCTATAGCTTTAAATAATATCCATAAGCTGACAAGTCCCAAATTATAATTTTAGCATTGACTTGAAGTCCCATACTCATATATCCAACTGTCTACCTGCCATCTCCACTTGAATGTCTAAAAAGAGTCTCAAACCTAACATGTCCAAAACCTCTTGATTCCACCTACCCAAACCTGCACATCCCTAGTCTTCCTAACTTCCAGTCCATGGCAGTTCAATCTACCCAGTAGCTCCAGCCAAAAGCCAAGGAGTCGTATTTCATTCCTCTTCTCTTTACATCCTGTAAATCTATCAAGAAGTTCTCTGGTGCCCACCTCCAGAATATTTCCCACCTCTCCTTTCTCGATCGCAACCCTGACGGAAGCACCTCACCCCTCACAAAGCCTCCTACAATTAATTGCCTTCTCCTGGACCGTCTGCTTCTACTCTCACCCCTTACATCTTGGTTGTAGAATTCGGACTATGTATAAAACCTTCCAGTGGTTTCCTATACAATTAGAATAAAATCCAGTCTCCTACCCTGTCCTGCATGGAACTGTGAGATCTGGTCCTGCTCCCCGTTTTTGTCCTCACCTTCTGCCAGTCTTCTTGATACCTGTTCTTCAATCCGGGGGCCTTTACGTTCCCCAGGCCCACCAGGCTTGACTCCCGTCTTGGGGCCTTTCTACTTGCTGTTTTCTCTATCTGGAAAGCTCTTTGCCCTGGTGGTCACACATCTGGCTCCTTTACGTCATTTACATCGGACTGCCATGTATGGTTGTGCATGGGGCTCCCAAGGAGTTGGGACTGATTCGCCAAGCCAGGCCTTGGCTCAAGGATGCCTGGGGTGAGAAGAGCCTTCTGTTGATCCCACACGGACCGACGGCCAAACCACATGCCCATGATGTGGTGTCTTCTCAGCGGGGGCACTTTTTCTAATCAAAATATTATTTCATATTTCTAAAGAGAAGAGAGAATAATCACTGGCACTCACTTTACATGCATCTCACATAAAAGTACAACAGGATTAGTCTGATCATCCTTATTTCACGTGTTAGAAACAGAGAGGGATAAATCGTTAATCCAGAATTAAAATTGGACTCTAATTCCAGTACTGTCTCTGAAGATGAAGAAGCAAGAACTCACTTGGAAACTTCTATTTTTTTCATGTTTTAATTCTCCTTATTTAGGACATCTGTAGGAAGGTTAGAAAAAAATCTATAAAGGCCCAAGCTATAGTCATTAAGAAGCTGCTATTGCTACGTGGACCTACAAAACATACCTGTCCTATACACCCCGACCAGGTGATATATTAAGGTCAGTAGGAAAACTAGTAAAATTTATCTTTTCTCTTTTGAGTCTCCATACCTTTGGACATACAGGCCTTGTCCCTTTACTGACTTCTATACATACTGGCTTACAGTCTATTTGGAAAATTATTTGTGTAAACCTCTAAGATAGTGACTGCATTAACTTGTTTGTACTTATTACTAAAATTTTCTACTTGGGAATTCAAAATGCAGACCAAGGAGTAAAATTTTTCTCTTCCTTGATGACTTTCTTTCTTCCTTGTTGTCGGAAAAGATAAAGAAGTAGACTTCAGAGGGTTGGCAAGAATTGCAGTTCTATAAATTAAGTCAATTTCTTGGTAGATGACCTTAGAAAAACTGTTTTTTTTTTAAAGTCCCACTCAAGCTATAAAACTATCAAGTTATAAAGGTCTAGTCTCAGTCTGGAAAGCAGAAGTACTAAGTACTTTTTCAGCTCCATATAACAGTCTGAAGTGATTGTAGTGTAATTCTGCTTCTATAAATGGAAGATAAACCTCATATAGTGCTATGACATGCCAAGCCCTATCCTAAGTGCTATGTGTTTGTTAAGTCACTTAATCCTTCCAGCAGCCCCAGAGGGTGTAGGTACTATCATTACCCCTATTTTACAGATGGAGAAATTGAGGCACAGATAGGTAAGGTACAATTGCCCAGGTGATAACCCAGTAAGGCACAGAGCTGGAATTGAAACCTCGGCAGTCTGTCTCTGGACAGGCTCCTGACCAGCTGAGAAATACCGCTTTTCTACCTCTTCTGTGTCCCCCCGCCCCGCTGTGAACGGAAGGGGAACGCTGGCCACTGTTGTAACAGTGGCCATCAGAAATGTATGCAAAGCACACCAAAATTGGAAACACTGAATAAAGGCCACCGTGGCACAAATAAAACTAACAACTTGTTTTTAAGAGGATGTCAGTACTGCATAACCAACTTTTAGTTACTGAATGTGTCACGGTTCCAGAAATAATGGCATTCCCTGTAGTGGAAATGGATCTGTCTAGGTAACTTTGACATATGAATTAAGTCACATGAACCCATGTTGTTGTAGGAGCTCCCCAGACTAACATCTTATATCAACTTCCATTACTAGATAGGATCCTAATAGTAGTATTTCAACAACACTTATCTGACCTAACCATCTAAACAGTCTACCTGCAATTTTGGAAAACGTTTCACAACCTTGAACAAGGCACTTCACCTCTCTGAGCCTTTTTTTCTTGTCTATAAAATAAAGTCATAAAATGATATGACCTCTAAGGTCTTTTCCATGTCTAACATTGAAAGATTTTCTGTCCAGACCTGATAGCTTGAGAGCAGAAAGCCTGAACTTTTTTATTATTTCTTACTACTTCAAAATCTACTGAGTAAAGCAACCTCACAGCTTCTAGAATCGGTGTGCTTTCAGATTACAATCATGTTAAGTCTGGCACTTAAAGTTCAAGTAAAAAACTGCCAGGTCAGCAGCAGGGAGCCAGATGTCATGGAGAAGAAGAGATAAGGGGAGATGCGTTCTTTCTTCAGGTGCAGACCTGGACTGACAGTCTCGGGCCACCTGGCGAAGTGTGCAGTTGGTAGAATCTAGTGTTCTGTCTGTGGGGTCTTGGGCAAGTTACTTAACCGCTCTGTGCCTTAGTTTCTTACCTACAAAATGGAGATAATAGAGATAATAAGAATCTACTTCACAAGTTGTGACGGAAAAATTTGTATATGTAGGCCTGTAGAAGAGCACCTGGCACATAGGAAATGCTATATAATGCTGTGTTGTTATTGTTGTTTCCTAGATTAAGAAATACAAAGTGAGAGCCAGAAGAAGGCAAACCCTGAGTTTGTACTGCAGGAGAGAAGCGCAGGGCAGGGCCCATAAATGCCTCCACTGAATCAACTTCATGCCAGGCCAGTGTGAGACTCATGCCTTGTCTAGTGAAAACGCTTCCAATTCAGTTCTTCTCTTCAGACACATATTCAAATTTCAGGCTCCCGAGCCAAGACAGGGCTTCCTTACTTTTCCTCCAACTGCAAAACAAAGTTGACCACTATCTCGAGTGAGATCTGATCTGTGTCTCCCCCTATAATCTCCTCCCTTTTCAAGGAATACTAATAAGGAGAGCAAACACTTACATAGGCAGAGGCTAAGTAACTTCCCAAAGTCACAGAGCTAAGTGGTGGAACCAGCATTCAACCCTGGGCAGTCTGACTCGAGTGTGCACTTGTGGGCTGGTGACACATTGTGCTGCAACAGACTGCATTCAGAGAGTGAGTGTGTGTGTGTGTGTGTGTGTGTGTGTGTGTGTGTGTGTGTGTGTGCGTGCGTGTGTGTACACAAACTGTGACATCTGACTCTATATCAGGCTAAACCTAGACCTTCTCTACACCTCCCTCAGGAAGCTGCAGACACGTGATCAGAGAGGACCTCCACCAGCACAGTAAATTAGTTCCATGCACCTCACAACTGTCCTGGTCCCCTGGCCGTGGCAACCACACAGGACAGTAGGTCCTATTACCCAGGAAGAGAAACCAGCCGGGAGGCAAACAGGAGGCATGGAACACAACCTGAGGCGAGGCAGCTGCCAACAACTGCACGGGGGTAGCAGCAGGAACATCCCAAACTGAGACACCTGGATTCCCGGAAAGTAGTGAGAGGTGCCAGACGTAGGAGAAAGAGCACTGTCTAGTAGTCAGGAGACCTGGGTACCAGCTCTAACTGGCTGTGCGCCCTGTCTGCCTCCTCAGGGCCCTATTTCCTCTGAGAGCACATTAAACAGTAAATGACTTGGGGAGTTGAAGGCTGGTAAATTAGAGACTTTGGCAATCACCAGAGTGTGAGGAAAGAAGTATCTAGACTAGAGTAGTGGCAGTAATTTTGCTGAATAGCAATTAAGAGTTGCCCCTCACTCATGAGTAGGCAAATTCCTCTGAGTCAGCCCAACGGATTTGAAGAAATTAGCCATCCCGTTCCCCTTGGAAATTATTTTTGCTGTGTGCTAACGATTACCTGAGTCCTGAAATTTCATATTACTAGGTCAGCCTCACTTGTAAGTGCATGTCAGAATAACTGCAGTATCATTTTATAGCAATTAAATTCACGGCAACGACCAAAAAAAAGCAAATGATTATAAAAACTAGTGTTGGGAAAGATCCAAAGAAGCCCACTTTTGCAGTGCCATGGACAGGTCGAGTGAGCACTTTTTCTTCAAGGCAATCTGAACACAGAATAAGAGCCACGAAAATGACCCGAACCAGTAACACATTAATTAATATTCTTGGAAATTTATTTTGAGAAAATCATTTCAATTAAAAGATATTTCACAAGATATTTATGGCAATGTTATTTGTAATAGTTCTAAACTGGAACCACCCTAAATAAATCTACTACGCGGCAGTGGCAAAGACAACTCCGATAGATTCAGTTGAAAAACTATACTGTCCAATGACATGACAATATATATGGATTTTAAAATATTGTAAAGAAAAAAAGTACACATGCTGAGGTTAGAGCAGAAGGGATTTCTAGGCAATAAAACTGGGAAAGTGTGGAGGACATTGTTTCCTTTGGGCAGAATGTGGGGTCACGAAGGACGAAGGTAGATGTAGCAAAAAAGTATGAGTTGTAGGATCAACATGAATGAGGTGTGTTGAACCAAGACCCAAAAAGCTTGGGAAGCCATAGTCATAAACAATATGACACATTTTTCTATCAAATGATCTTAAATTTTCAATTGCAAGGAAAAAAACTTGTACATGGTTTAATAGGACACTAACTCGACGACTGTAGAGTGGGTCATCAAAGAGAAGGGGGACGAGGGGCAAAGTTAGTTCCCTAAATGGGAAACGGCATCAATGACTGGACTTCTCACTGCTCTTTGTGAGAGATAAAGATATCTCTGAAGCAGGAAGCTAAGTACACAGGCCAGCGGCTCAAAAGGAGCAGGGCTCCGAGCAGGAAATGGCTAAGACTGTCTTTCCGGTTGTCACAGGAAGTTGATGTAATGAAGACAGGACCTTAAGAAAATGTTGCTCAATTAAGACCAAATACTTCAGTTCACCTGTGAAGAAGCCCAGATGGCAGCTCAGAACAAAAAGGTAGGAGGTCAAGAGGATTAGATGAAATATGTGTAGAAGCACTCTGCCAATTGAGAAATGCTTTATAAACACTTTCTCTGGAGACTAGGGCTTCATTCTAAAAAAAAAAGACTGCAAAGTTAGCCGGCGTGTTCTTTAACTATATATAACCTAAATCAATAAATGGTTTTATAAATTCTTATAGTTCTAATTCTGAATGAGTAATAGTAAAATCATAAGCTTTTTTCTATTTGAAGCTATGATTTTTATCTTGGCCATTTAACCATGTTGGCTCTTTTCAGTAGATTTTTGGTGATCTATAAGCCAGCCATAATTAAACTGATCATGTTGTGAATTAGTGAGACAGTCCAAAAACACTGAATTGACCAGGAATATTTTAAATCACATGACCACTCATTCATTCATTCATTCACTCATTCATTCATGATAATCCCAGGAGAAGTGCCATATTTCTGAAGGAGAACAAGTGGTAAGGCAAAGAAAGGTACAGAACACTATAGACTTTAAGAGAAATATGAAAGTAGGGCGACATCATAAACCATTCTTTCTGCT